TAAACTGAAAATACAATCACTAATTTCAAAGTTACAATTCATCACCTGAGTCAAGGCTTATCTCTTTCAATTCTGTATCCAAAGTATCATAGTTCATGTCTTGCCTATCATTCTGAAAGTGCACATAGCTCAATTGAGTTTTGTTTTTGAGCAATTTTTGTGAAAGAAAAAACAGCACGCAAGTCACTGTGCTTGTAATGGCCAGACTTCTAAAAAGAACTCTAGGTCCATACACATTATAGACCTTTCCACCACCGAAACCTGCAATAATTTTCCCAAGGCCAAAATGTGTTGCAGTAACCAAGCCCATCACAGTGGCAGCCAGTCCATCAGGAGAAATTTTCCCACCATACGATGTCGTGGCAGCCCACATAGCGCCAAATGTTACACCATGCAGAGGTTCAATAACCAACACATACCATGCCTTGGGGATAAAGGAGTATGAAAGGTACCTTATTGTGTAGCACACAAAAGTAAGGTACAATACACCATGATGACCTATCCGCTCGATCAAATGTCCAGAGAAAAACATTATTGGAACCTCTGCCACACAAGTCATACAAAGTGTAAGTCCCATCAGAAGATGACTGCCATTTAAGTCCTGGAGGAACCAGAATAGGTACATGTTAATGGTTTCCATGCATGTACCCATGATAAGAATGGCAAGCAAGAAGGTTGCAATGCGACAGTCTGATAAAATAGTTCCAACATTCTTAAAAAACTTAGCATTTGCTCTTCCCTCCATGCACTCTAAAGGTAACTTGAAAATGGTTGCAATAGTTGCCATGCTAAATAAAAGAAATCCACAAAATGCTATGAGAAACTGACTTTGACTCAATGTTTTTGCAGACTCGTCAATTGCAAATCCTGAAAATATGGCAATGGATCCCCAGCCTACTGCTCCCCAAAGCCTCTGCTTTCCATAATCGCCACCTCTGTCAATAGCAGTCAAATATTTAACTGTCGCTGCATCACCAAGGGAATTAAAGTTACCAAAAAGCTGTGATGTAATGAGGAGTACACTCATTACTATAAATGTCTTCGTTTCGTCCCTTGATTTTCCTGTGGAATCCACTGCAACCTCATTTGACATATTTAAAGGCAAGCCATTACCACAAATTCTAGACATTGAAAAGTGAGAGCAGTTTATTCCACGGCATGGTAAGTTATTAGCATTGACATGACCATCCTTAGAACTATTCCACGAAGAGCTGTTACTGTTGTTACAAGGATTTCCTTCAATTCTTTCCTCTATATCAGAATTCTTAGTGAATTGAACAAACACGAGGCCAAAAAATAATGCGGTAGAAACAATACACATCCCTAACATCACAGCTCTGTGTTTTCTGTACTTATCCGCCAAACCTCCGAATAAAGGTGCTCCAACAAATCGAGCTACTGGCTGCAAGCCCAATAACATTCCAGTCTGTTCGGCCGACATGCCAACGTGGCGAAAGAATACCGGGAGAAAAGGCTTCGCGCAGGCTTGAGCGCTGAAAAGGAAGAAGTAATAAAGTTTGAAGACTAAAAGTTCCTTGTTAACACGACCAAAACATCCCAGATGAAATTTTCTCCATGGATCATTGTGGTTTGCTATAATTTTTGATTCTGATGTGGTACCGTCGACGAGTCCCATCTCAGGTGCGGCCATTTTTTCTCTCGACCCCGACTTAGTCCCAGTCTCCGACGAGGGCGGACCAGAGAAAGACCAGAGGGATACTTGCAAGCAGGGCGGATAAAGGTTGGGCGGTGAAACGAGCGCGTCCGAGCAAAAAGGTGTGATGCAGTGGACTTAGAAATGTCGCTTGTTTTCGCCTTCGGTCAGGGCTTGCGATGTGGTTTGTACATTAGACACTGCTGCTGTCACTTAATTATGGCAGCTGATTTTTTTTCTTGCACTTCTTCCTCGTTCCTTCGTTCTGGTACCCTGTCTCCGAGAGGCAAATGTTGCTATTTTTTGCGGGAGGTCTAGTTGGAGTAGACAAACATCTCTTTCAAAGGGTTTCTTTTATTACTTCCATGACTCTACCACTGACTACTACCGATGTCGATGTTATTCCAAAACAAAAACAACTAAGTACTGTCTAAAACAAGAAGGAAAATCTCATTCATGTCATCCATGGCAAAACTAAAAGACAGCAGATCGTGCTTCATAACTAGATGACGTGTATTTTATAACTGCGTGCAGCTCGTGCAAGGTGAAATTATGCTAATTTCAATCACCATCATCCTTCTTTTTAATTTTGAAAAAAACATCTCCTACGTCTTTCTGTTTCTTCGAAACTTCAAAATTAGTTTCCCCTCAGTTTTTACTGTTTACCTTGTTTTGTTTTAGAGAGAAAAAAGGAGAAAAAACCTTACAACTAACCTCACTAAATTTTGTTTACATGCGGTTGCCGGATTTGCAACGCATTGCGCGAATCCCCATGGCGCGTTGCACCCGAGAAGCAAAGTTTGAAGAAGTACAACGCCACTATATCAATATATATCAATCTAATTTTTTGTTATGTTATATAAAATTTATCCCCCTCCAACATATGTAAAAATTGAGGTTAAGAAGTGTTAAGCTTTTGCAAACGAAAAGGTGAAAGACGATTAGGTGATATTTAGTGGAAGGGGGAGGTATTCAACACTTTCAAATAAAACTCAAATTTTGGCATTATACTACCAACAAGTTTGACTTATAGACGTACAGACACAAACATATGAAACTGTTTATTGATATTGTTATGAAACGAATTTATCTATTTAACATTGTAGCCTGAAATTACAGAAAGAAAATAGGATTTCCGGTTTCCATGAAGGAAAATTTCGCCGGCTTTCAAGCGCACCGGAAGCGCGGAAAGAGCGCTCGTGCCAGT